TATATATATATATATATATATATATATATATATATATGTATCACAAAACTAAACTATTCCCTCATCTCGTATTTCATCACACAAATGCCGTTTACACCGACGACCGCACTCCCGACGTTTACACCAAACCGAGAACCGCCAGAGATAAAGGGGTGTGTAGGGTGTACGAACGCTTTTCCACTAATTACTCCGGCTTTTTATCCTCGAGCTTTCACGGCCCACTGAGCTCGCCGCAAAACCAGCCGCCACTTTCTCAGGTGAGACCCATAGTTTCAGAGTTTAAGTAAGAGTAACTCCTGATTAAACAAGAAAAAACGAGTTACACCTTTACTCTCTTTTTTCACTTTTCTTCAGAGACAGGTCCTCCGATTTACCGCCAGGCAAAAAAAAAATCAAGATTTTGTCTTTAAAAAAAAATAAATGTTTCTTTTTTTTAAGAGTTGACAGTAGTTTTTTGAATTGATGGAAAATTATTTTTTTTTGTTGTAGAATCACTCGCCCAAGAGTTGGAGCAAGAGAGAAAATCGCGACAACATCAAGCCACTGAAAGGGATCAAGTCAAATCTCCCCTTCAAGGTAAATTTTTAATTGAAGTATTATTTGTTTAATTTGAATTATAAAATTTTGTCATTTTTGTCGATTTTTAAATCAAATTTTTTACAATTACAAAATTTTTTTTTTTTTAGTAAATTGCAAAAACAAAAAAATTTGTTTTTTAATTAAAATTTGAAAATTTTGTAATATAATTAAAAAATTAAAAAGTTCAAAAACTAATTGTTGAAATTAATTTCAACAGTACTAGATTTTTCTGAGTCGATTAGCGGAGTAATTAAAAAAAAATTTATTTAAAAAATTCACAAAAATGTTTTCGTGTTAAAAGTAAACGATTGTATCAAAGAAAAAAAAAAAGTAATGATACAAAATGTTAAGAAATGCGAGTGATCTCTACCCTCTCCTAAAAAATCCCTTGACGTTGGCGCCTTGACTGGCAGAGGCATGACGACGTGATCGTAAATAATCTCATTCTCTCCCTCCCTCGGGTTTCTTCAACGTATCCAGCATTTCTTATCCATAAGATGGTTATATAGTATCCTGTAATAAAGAATTTAGTGGCTCCTAGTTTACAGTTTTTGTTAAATTTACATTTACTTTTTATTTACCTTCTTCGGCACTCATCGAGTTTGTTTTTAAACAAAACAAAGTATCAATTTAATCGTAAAAATCGATACCCGCTTTTCGATATTACCCACTTTTACATTTTTAAATTAACTCTCCAGGTAAATAATTAAAATAATAATAATATAAACAAGTCAAAAATGAAACCAGGCGCTAGACTATTAATTGATTTTTCAATAATAAACGACAGAGTTTATTCAGAAATAAAACCAAAGTCGGCTAATCTCAAAGCTGAAGCAAATCTTAAGTCCGGTCATGATGACTTGACTGGTCCCGATTTTATTTAGGGTCTACCCACTTGCTCCCGTCTTCTGTTCGTTATATCGCGCATCGTATCGTAGCTTATCCGCAACACAACATATTCAGCTTCAGCTCATACTGATGCTCAGCTCGAGCGCCAAAAGAACCAGACAATCCTTTAGCAGGAGCGCCGATATACTTGCTCTTAATTTAGCGCTTCGTCCTGTCTTACGCAGTCTCGAAGGATAGAAGGATAATTAGTGAGCGGCGCCTTGTGCTAAACGAAACAAAATTCACCCAGCTGGTCCTTCTTCTTCATCTTCATCTCCAAACTTATCTTCTTTGTCCTCTTTTTCTCTTTTGCTAACGAATTCGCTCCCTCGACATTTGCCATCTTCATCACTCACTCAAATTACAAATTTATTTATATATTAATTATTTTTTTATTTTTTGGTCAATATTATCCGCTGAGTATTGAAAAATAGCTTTGCAATTATTTAATTGATTTGATTTGATTTTAAATCTTGAAAATTAGAAAGTTTACAAATGAAGGAAGAAAAATTTTCGCTGAATTTTCAATTGATAATATAAAAATTAAATTTTTTAATTATTAAACTTGAATAAATTTTGTAGAGTTTATAATTGCATGTCTAAAAATTATCTAATAATTGATAACAATAAAATAGAAGATCAAGTAGTTTGAAAAATGAGAAAATTTATGAGTTTTTTAAAATGAAAAATTAGTGAATATTTTCAAAAATTTAATAATAAAATTTATTAATAATAATTAATACAATATTATTTAATTTTTAACGAATTAGTGAAACGGATTATTAAAACAATTTTTTACTGAAACTTAAGTAGAAAATCTTAAAGGAGTTTTTTCTAATGGAAAAATAAATTAAATAAAAAATATCGTATTATTTAAAAGAATTTATCGCAAATTAAAAATCAGTAAATGACGAAAATGAAGTTGGGTCACATTTCGAAATTTTTAGAAATTTTTTATCGACAAAATTTCAATTAAACAATTAAAAAAAAATATATCACATGTTAAAAACTTGAAAAACTATAAGTGCAATTTTTTATAAATATCTTTTCAGTTGTAATTTAATTAAAAAAAAAAAATCAAAAATTTTTAGACGTCTGCTAACTTCAGTGTCATAAATTTTTAACTTGTTTTTTTAATTTCTTTTGATGAGTAATAAATATTTGAATTTACTAAATATCTAATTTTTTAATCCACAGAATCCCGAACGGGTTACTACAAGAACTCCGTACTCTTCACAAGCGCGACCTAGAAGCGAAGATTAGAAGAAGACGCGCCCCAAAGATTCAGCACTAGCCGTTGAAAGTGGACGCGCCTTCTTGAGAAAAAGGAACAAACCCGTGAAAATCGTCCCTTTAGCGGAGATCAGCGATAATATTTCCAGAGTAACCTATGGAATGTCAAACTGTAAATTATATATAAAAAACAGCTACTAGTTATAAATTAATTAATTGAATGATACAATATTGAGATTGTTGTGAAACGTAAACAAGTATAATTAAAACTAAGCTAAGTAATAACAATAACTTTTAATATTTAACTAAAAAATACATGTATAAATGAATTAGCGGACGCTAATTACATATCAACGATTGTGCATTTTATGCAGGGTCGTATCGTTCGCTACTAAAATTATTATATTATATATCATCGGAGTGGTAAATAGAAAACTGTAAGCGAGAGAGCGCAATGACACTGACAAGGATTTATAAAATTATTATTATTATTTATAAAGACTGCTTGTGAATGTGTGAGTGCATGTTCTCGTAATTTTAAGGGTGACTATTATTAATAATTAATAATAAATAATAAATAATAAATAATAATTAAATATCAATATCGACGAGTGAGTAGATAATTTTCAAGTCCGTAATCGGCGAATGCTAGTCGACCTCGTTCCTCCTTGCGTTTTATATTTTAGTTTAAAAAGTAATTATTTTCGTAGTGGGTAGTGGAGAAACGAGCGATCGAGAAATTGTCTGGCCGAGCGGGGAGGTGTCACGAATAATTATTTAAATCCTTAAATAATAACGAGGATTTTTCAGACGCGTTGATTCTCGGAAGGAATGGAAGAGTAGTCGGAGTTTAAATTATAAATAAATAAATAATGAAACCTGTATCATACGTAGAGAAATAAAATCATAAACTGTAGCCTCTTCTCTAACACTTCTATTTATATAAATAAAAATAAAAATAAACATTTAGCTGTACCGACAATTAATTTTAATCATACATTGTACGTGTATTTAATATTAACGCTCACGAAGTGAAATACTTTAGTCTTCTTCCGGTGAGTGCAATCCTGGAAATTAAAATTCATAATAGTTATTAACTATTAATTATTAATTAATTAATTCGGTGATTTGAAAGGATACTAAGTCTTTCTCTTCGAAGTGAATATCTTTAAGATTGTACAGTCTTTTACCTTAAGATCCTTGTGTTGTAAAGTTGACGTAATCGTAGCGTCTAGGTAGAGACTAAGTCTATTAAAAATAAACAATTAAATAAATAATAATAAATAAATAAATAAATAAATTGATTGTAGTGCCGATAATCTAATCAATAAAATTCTCTATCGACCAATTATTTGTCCTGACTCTTCAATGATTTAATATAATTGATTATAATTATTATTATTGATAAATAATTAAATTATTGAATGTCAGAAAAAATTGACGTTTTTTATTTTCTTGTGGAACACTGTAAAAAATCGGGGAAAAATGGCAGCAAATCTTTATTACTGAGAGTATAAGTTGAATTTAACCTCCGTAAATTTTTTACAGTGCAGTACCAGTAAGATGTATGGTTATTATTGAGGTAATGAATATTATTGATTATTGATAAATATTATTATTATTATTTTGTAATTTGTTCTGATGACTCATTGGACTATAAACAATCTAATATCGAGGCTAGAAGTGTATTCATGTAATTCAGCATTACTACGTATGAATAAATAGTTGTTATTGTAAAAACCTACTGAATTATTAATTTAATCACATCACCCAAACCATAACGTATTATTTAATTCAATAAAAAAATAATACACTGTAATTACTGGTAATTTTGTTTTTTGGTAGCGGATTTATAATTATTATTTTTATGGGGGATAATTACATTAATTAGGTGGCGTAGAAAGTACGAGTGTTAATACGCTTCCTTTGTCTTAAAGATATGTATTATTATTATTAATTATTATTATATATTAATTTTATTTTTATACTATATGTAAGTGGTCAGACCCAAGAGGGTAAGTAGTTTTCAGGCTTGCAGTTAGTCATGTGCCGGTGTAATGCATTCTTATCAATTTACTGAGTCTGTAACGACATAAGGCACGCGACGGTATTCCATTGGTCGGCATAACAAGCTCCACCCTTTTTTAACTTTGAATATTATTTTAATAAATAACTGTTATTCTTTTTTATTACTGCTTTTAATTTATTAATTTTGTTTTACGAGGCAATCTCTTTTTTAGGTTATTAGTTTTTTTTTTTCATCAAGCAGTATTTTGAGATAATTAATTTTAAGTTATTGGTTGTAATGAATACTTTTGGTTGCACTGTTCATTAATTTTTTTGACCTAAGTTAGTGGTGTTAAATTTTGTGGACTGTTAACAATTCATGGTTATTTTTGGGAGTTTATTTATAATACACCGAAGAGTGAGGATCTTATGAGAAATTTTAATCAAATGTTTATTCACAGATAATTTCAAAATTTTTTAAAGAATTTTCGAAATAAATTCTTGAAAATCTTTCACTTAATAAATTATAGAAATTTTCTTAAAGTTTTTACTAAAAAAAAAAAACATTTTAGAAAATTCCAAGTAGTTTTATTTAAATTTCTTATAAAAATTTTTGATATTTTATAAAAATATTAAAGGAATTAAAAATTTTTTTCCATAAAGCTTAAAATCAGTCTTTAGAAAAATTTATTTTAGTGAAATAATTATTTAAAATTTTTTTTCCAAATTTAAGTTATCAAAATTGATTTCAAGAAATTTTTTTAAAAATCTTTATTTAAAAAATTGCTATTAAAAAATCATGCGTAATATTTTAAATTTGAATTTACGTCTAAATTAAATTAATTTAAAGAACAAATTTTACGTAGTTTCACAAATATCACTTCTGGAAAATTTTCCTAAATAATGTTTACCACAAAAATACTTTCATAAAAAATTTTCTGACGAATTTTCATTATAAATTTTAAATAAAAATTAAAAAAACTCTTTTTGACCTTAATTGCTTATGAGAAATATAAACTATTCTGAATTTATAAAATCTACTTCAAATTATTATCCATAAAAATAATTGATAAATAAAAATGCAAATATATTTTTATGATTTACGATTTATAATATGACAGTTAAAATACATAAAGAGATTGGGTGACTATATACGACTATAGAGGAAGGATGACTTTTAAGAATAATTTCCACCCCGATGTCACGCGGCCTAACCACGAAGCTTTTACTTAGCGTAAAAATGCAAAGCGCGTCGCGCTGTCACCTTGTTATATATAATATATATCTGGTTGAAGTAAGAGCAAGAGCAAAAGTAAGAGTAAGAACGAGAAAAAATGAACGGGATGCAAATGAAGGGCTTGACTTCGGAACCCCAACATCTTTTTAAAAATAAAACGGCCCTCAAATCATAAAGATAACCGAATTGCTCGACTTTTATTCTTAGGACATATTGCCCGACAATCATTCCCTTATTTACATAATTATCGAATAAAATTTGGGGTGCCGGCGGGGCTATATAGTCCAAGTCTAATACCACCCGAGTACAACTAATTTCATGCTCTTACTCTTACTTTTTCCACCCGGCTCTTCTTTTTATTTTATTTCATTTCATTTTCTACTCCTACGCTCCTACAAGCTTATGCTTCACTATAGTGTAGGTGGAGGGTCCAAAGCTGTCCTTTCATCTTTATCGTCCTTCACTTCTATTCTCATTACTTTTTTCCGGCTACGACTCTCCTGACAGCCCTTACAATCTAATAAAAAATAAAATTCACGGATTACGTCTCATTTAGTCATCAAAATGTAACAAACAAAAGTCCTTACTTTTTCAAACTTATTTTTAGTTCAAATTTCTACTTTAATTATTTAAAATTACATTCTACAATGTTACATAAAAATTTATACATTTAAAAATTGTTTTTAGTTTTATTTGTACGAAAAAACATCAATTAGTTCAAAATTTATTATCACTTTAAAAAACAATTTAATATTTAATACAGGTACAATATTTTACACCCTCTAAAAAATAAGGAGTTAGACCAATTGCTAATGAGACCGTCGATTTATGATTTTCCGAAAAACACCTAAGTTGCACTTAATTTACATTTATATAAAAAAAATTATGAAATTTATAATGAACCTCCACGAATTAATTATCAAAATAGATAATTAAATTTTTTATCATTTTGTACAATTAACCTAAGATTAAAAAAAAACACTTAAAATTAAAATTACACCACAAAAGTCAAAGTAATTAAAAATACAATGATTGATTCCATTAAAGTTTAATTATATCCTGTAAAAAAATTTTCTTATACGGCCTGATATTTCTGCTTAATTGTCTTATTACAAACGAGTTAAATTAGAGGTGTTAATTTCTAAAATAAAAATCAACTTAATTTTGTCCAATAAAATATCTTGATTGACGTACAAAATTTTCAAAAAAAATTATTGAAAAAAATTGAATCAATTATGACCCAAATAAAATTTTTATTGAAGCAAGAAAAATTTTCCTCTACTCAATAATTGATTTTTTTTTATCTAAAACTTTAAATTTCAATAAAAATAATAATTATCTTTTGAGCATCATAATAAATTTAATAAGAAGATAAATTTGTTTCACATGAAATAAAAAGTTCAATGGACGCTTCAAAATGGTTGAAAAAATAAGTTTAATAAGTAAAGAATTTAAATTACCTTAAGACGACTAACAAGATATTAAAAATAATAAAAAATTTTGAGTAAATTGAAGAGAAATAATGATTGCGATAAAAATAAATAACACTAATAATAATAATTGTGATGAAATGGTTGAGTTCTTAGTATATAATCTACTATAAAAATCCAAGGAGTAAGCAGACGGTGTGCATAAATAGAGGTAGGTTGATCTACAAGTTGGTACAACTAGATGCATATTAACAAGCCCATTATAAAGTAAGTGTATGTAATTCTCATTTTAATTAGAGTCGCAATAGTGGAATTTTATGAGCCGTGTGTGTTTTAAATACAT